CCTCTGAAATATGTTAAGAAGGAACATTTCTATCCAAATTAAGTATACTTTGTCAGGAATCAGGCATAGCAGCGAGAGACAAGGAAAAATCTCATAACAAAGGAGAAGAGCCAAAAGAGATCCCAATCAAGTCACTTCCCTGCTGCATGAAGTAAGGTTATTGCAATATAAAAAATAGGGGTCTACGCCTACACTCTCACTGTACTGTAAGGGGATGTGGTTTATAGTGACAAGTCATGTATGATGCAGTCTTCTGTTATATGTGGTCAGTGAACTCTATGTTTGCTAAATTTTGAAAAGGTATTCTGTGTTGACCTGGGGCTTTGATACAATAACACAAACACACAAAAATTATTTCAGAAGCACCCTTCAAAGAATTAAATATTTAAATTAAATATTTAAAATAATAAATCTAAATTAAACACAGCCACAATGCATCCATTAAGATCAAATCATCTTGTCATCTTTTAATGAAAAATGATTTAAAACAAAAATATAAAAGCAGCAGCAAACCTGACGAATGTGCATAGTTAACTGATGCTGTGTAGTGCAAATCTTTTCACACAGGGGACAGTTATAGGAAGACTTCTCCTCTTTCGTTTCCTGAAAAGATAAAATAAAAGGGAGAATCAATTTCACCTCACAGTAAACTAATGCCTTTTATTTCTGTTATGAGCATCTGAAGCAATGAAACAACTGAAAGCATAGGTTCTGGGGCCTGTCTGGGTAGGAGCTTGGGCAAGTCATCATCCTGTTGTCCCTCAGTTTCCTCGTTTGTGAAATGGGAAGAATAATAGCATCTACCACATCACACCATGATGAAGATTAATTCAATTAACATGCATAAAACACTGGAATAGCGCCTGGCACAGGGTAAGTGCTCAATTAAGTATTAGTGTTATTAGACAGATTTCATTTAATTAATAATCAGTGCTGGTGAAAAATTAAGCATCAAGTCATGGCAGAGCTAGAAAAGGAATATATTTCTCCCCAAGTCCGACCCAGGATCCAGTCACCATTTTCTACCTGGTTTTGAGGTCCCCAAGAACATATGAGAGGTAACGAAGATCTCATGACAAACACTCACCCTCTCAATGGAAGGACTCAGTACCCAGCTGTGTGCCCAAGAGGCATCGACATGACCCTTTTCACTTGCTGCTAGCATCTGCTTGATGCTGCTCATAAACAGTAATTAAGAATAAGAATGCTGGCCTGTAGAAACTGTGATAGGGAATGACAACCCTATCACAAAGGTGATGACAAAAGGACCAGCTCACTACTTGGTGTGGAGGCTCATTTTATGTTCCCTCAAAACACACAGGACAAGCTTCCCTCAAGCAATATATTTTACCTTTTTAAGAGAAATGACAAGCTTCTTCACTAGCCATATATTGTAACTCCTCTTACAAAATAATTCATCGAGGGGTGCCATGGATGTATCCCATTATTGCCTCCTCACCCACATAGTCCCTAAGCACCACAGGGCTCTGTCCACATCCCCAGAACTAATGCGATCAAGGCCTGGACACCTCTCCCAGTAATATGGAATTGAGATGCTTAGAGACCTTTAAGATCAGCAGATTTCCAAAGATTAGGAGAATCACCTGGGGAGCTTTCTGAACTACAGATTTCTAGACCAGACTTGTGATAGGCTGAATTAGAATCACTGGGGCAGAGGGCCTGAACCCCAGGAATCTGTTTCACAAGCTCCCCAGAACATGTTGGTATGTGCCCAGGTTTGGGGATGACCAAGTTACTAAGTTAAGTCATCATGAGCACTTGAATTAAAAGTTCACGTAGCGTTGGGACCAGACCCAGCACTGTGGCAAGCCAAAGCCACGAGATGTTGGTGGGAAAACGGCTAGCTAATGAAAGTGGGAGATCAGGCAGCCTAAGAGAGAGGGAAGGGCTGGGCCCTTGGGCATCTTTCAACAGACCTCTTTTTCCCTGTACTCATTTGAATGAGTTTCTGTTCCTTTCCCAAATACCAATTATTGAATGCATACTACGTGCTAAACTCTGTACATAACAGAAACGTCGGTTTTTTCACAATCCCTAAGAGACAGCCACTATTACAGATCCCATTTTCTGGATGAGGAAACTGGGGTACAGAGAGGCAAGTCACCTGCCCCAAATCAAAAAACTATTACATAGTAGACCCAGGATTAAAACTCAGGCCAGCTGCTTGACAGTCCAGGCCCTAAACCACTATGCTATATAAATCTGACGGAAAAAAAAAAAAAAGATTAACTCCAAGGCACAGAAAGGAAACACCCTTGTGGGTGGCTTATGAGAAATGACAAAAATAAGTCACCCTGAAGACGATAAAAACAAATGGCACCATACACCAGATGCGGTGGAGTGAATGCATGATGATGTCAAGTACATAGCTGCCTACAGTGGTTCTCTCACTCCTCTTCAAAGACTAGTAAGTCTCATTTTATGCAATACAGTAGTCCACCCCTATCCTCAGTTTCACTTTTCACGGTTTCAGTTACCCAGTCAACCATGGTCCAAAAAAATTAAGTGAAAAATTCTAGAAATAAACAATTTATAAGTTTTAAATTGCGCACTGTTCTGAGTTGTGTGATGAAACCTCACACTATCCTGCTTTGCCTGCTTGGGATGTGAATCATCCTTTTGTCCAGCATCTCCATGCTGTATACACTCATTAGCCACTTAGTAGCCAACTCAGTTATCAGGTCAACCATTATGGTATCACTGTGTTTACATTCAAGGAATGCTCATTTTACTTAGCAATGACCCCAAAGTACAATAGTGATCTGGCAATTTGGATATGCCAAAGAGAAGCTGTGAAGTGCTTACTTTAAGTGAAAAGATATGTATAGGAAAAAACATTACA